CCCCCCCCCCCCCCCCCCCACCTGGGACACTTTCTAGCAGTCAGACCTGGAATTCTTTTCGGTTTGCATGATTACAAGAAGCACTGGTTTTCTAGGCGATGTCGAACAAAACGGAAAGAAAAAGAACCAGGAGTTGCACAGGCCTTTTTTTCGGTCTCGAAACCCGATCGCATCAGAAGTGGCTTGTAAGATCAAGAAGGAATTCAACAAGGACTTGATGAGTTTTGTTGGCAGACTGCTGCTGTTGGTTGATTCTTTTGGGTTACGAAAACGCCAATTTTTGTCAAGCCCTACTACTACAGACTGCATGCTGCTTTTTTGTTGAGGTACAAGTTTGTTAAACCTATAGACTATTTTCCTTGAATTTCTTGATTGTACAAGGCATTAGTATTATTTGTTAGTTACAACAACACCAACCCCAAGTGTTAGTTGACCCCAAGAGTTTTCCTTTTTTTTTCCTTTCGTAATGTGTTCCCTTTTATTAAGGACACAGGCTTCCTTCGTGGTGGGGAGGCCCAGGTCGTAGTAGTCGTCCTTGGTCCTACTTTTTTTTTTTTGTATGCGCAACCATGGTTACAGCACTTCATTATTTTTTTGTTCATTTTTTTCAGCGGGACGACTCAAGGGGAAAGGGCTCATGGAGTGGAAAGAGGCGGCGAGGCAGCGCCTGATCGATTCCCAAAGCGGGACGGTTTCTTGGCAGCACGGAGCAGCCGGCCCTTCCCCAAGGGCCACCCCTTCCGCAACGGCCACTCCTTCCGCACGCGACGCCGCGGCCCACCGTGAGTTGATTCCGTGTTGCTTGGGGACCCGTATGCATGTATCTCTCTTGTTGTTGTTGTTGTTGTTTTTGTCTTCACATTAAAAACCATCCCGGTCTCTCTATCCAGTACCTCCTTCTGTCTCAATCTCTCCGTACTAATCCATCACTTGACTCGGCCAATTTCCGTGGTCACAGGCTAACGTACCTTGAAAAGGTATACCAAAATAAAATGGACCCCAAGGGTCAGCAGAGCGATA